GCAGGAATATTGGACTGGATGGCCCATGAGGTCTCTTCCAACTCTTTGATTCTATGATTCTATGATTCTATGTGAGATTTCCGGTGCGAAATGGTGATGATGATGATGGTGATGATGTTATTATGTTGATTGCCATGGCAGATTCCTATTATTATTATTATTATTATTATTATTATTATTATTATTATTATTATTATTATTATTATTATTATTTTGCCAGCCCAATATGAATGGCAGGTCTGTTTTCTGCTCTCTCTCTCTCTCCCATAACATCCAGACTCCTGCACCTGCACCTGAGGAAGTTATCTACTGGCAGGTCAACCTGGACCGCTTCCACCAACACTTCCGGGACCAAGCTATCGTCAGTGCCGTGGCCAACAGGATGGACCAGGTCTTTTCTTTAGAGAGTTTAAAGAACAGCCTTTCCTCTGATGTGTCATTTCCAAGGGGAGAATCCTCTATCAGGGCACGCGTGACGCAATTGCGCGTCTGCAGTACGATTCCTCTCCAAAACTATGGATCCCAGTGAATAGTCCCATCTCTCCTTCTTTTCTCTGGACAGACCAGCAGTGAAATTGTGCGGACGATGTTGCGCATGAGCGAGGTCACCACCGCCCCCGGTGCCCCCTACACACAGCCGCTCTCCTCCAATGAGGTGAGGGGTCAAAGGGCAGGTGGGGGGAGAGGGGCGGAGGGAAACGAGTCCCTCTGTTGGGAGAAAGGATTCCTGCTTCAACTATGTTTATAATAATATATAATAATTATATATAATAATACGAATATAGTAGTAGTAGTAACAACACATATACACAGACTGGGCCACAGCAATGCGTGCCAGGGGATGGCTAGTAGTAGTAATAATAGCAAGAACAACAATACGTATGCACAGACTGGGCCACAGCAATGTGTGTCAGGGGACGGCTAATAATAATAATAATAATAATATATTATTATATTATTAATAATAATATTAATAATAATAATAATATAATAATAATAATAACAACAACAACAACAACACATATACACAATTTGGGCCACAGCAATGCGTGGCAGGAGATGGCTAGTAATAATAATAATAATAATAATAATAACACATATACACAATCTGGGCCACAGCAATGCGTGACAGGGGACAGCTAGTAATAATAATAGTAATAATAATAATAATAATAACAATCTGGGCCACAGCAATGCGTGGCAGGGGACGGCTAGTAATAATAATAGTAATAATAATAATAATAACAACAACAACAACAACAACAACAACACATATACGCAATCTGTGGCAGGGGATGGCTAGTAATAATAATAATAATAATAATAATAATAATAATAATAATAATAACACATATACACAATCTGGGCCACAGCAATGCGTGACAGGGGACAGCTAGTAATAATAATAGTAATAATAATAATAATATTAATAACAACAACAACAACACATATACGCAATCTGGGCCACAGCAATGTGTGGCAGGGGATGGCTAGTAATAATAATAATAATAATAACACATATACACAATCTGGGCCACAGCAATGCGTGGCAGGGGACGGCTAGTAAAAATAATAACAACAACAATAACAACACTTATACACAATCTGGGCCACAGCAATGTGTGGCAGGGGACGGCTAGTAATAATAATAATAATAATAATAATAATAACACATATACACAATCTGGGCCACAGCAATGCGTGGCAGGGGATGGCTAGTAATAATAATAATAATAATAATATTAACACATATACACAATTTGGGCCACAGCAATGTGTGACAGAAGACGGTTAGTTGTAGTAGTAGTAATAATAATAACAACAAATATACAGAGACTGGGCTACACCAATGCATGGCAGGGTACGGCTAGTAGTAGTAGTAGTAGTAATAATAATAATAATAGTAACACATATACACAATCTGGGCCACAGCAATGTGTGACAGGGGACGGTTAGTTGTAGTAGTAGTAATAATAATAACAACAACACATATACAGAGACTGGGCTACAGCAATGCATGGCAGGGGACGGCTAGTAGTAGTAGTAGTAGTAATAATAATAATAATAATAACACATATACACAATCTGGGCCACAGCAGTGCGTGACAGGGGACAGCTAGTAGTAGTAGTAGTAGTAGTAATAATAATAATAACAACAACAAACAACACATATCCACAGACTGGGCCACAGCAATGCATGGCAAGGGACAGCTAGTAGTAGTAGTAGTAGTAGTAATAATAATAATAATAACAACAGCAACAACAACACATATACACAATCTGGGCCACAGCAATGCGTGACGGGACGGCCAGTAGTAATAGTAATAATAACAACAACAACAATACATATACACAGACTGGGCCACAGCAATACGTGGCAGGGGACAGCTAGTAGTAGTAGTAGTAGTAGTAGTAGTAGTAATAATAATAATAATAATAACAACAACAACAACAACAACACATATACACAATCTGGGCCACAGCAATGCGTGACGGGACGGCTAGTAGTAGTAGTAGTAATAACAATAATAATAATAATAACAACAACAACAACAAGAATACCTATACACAGACTGGGCCACAGCAATACGTGGCAAGGGACAGCTAGTAGTAGTAGTAGTAATAATAATAATAATAACACATATACATAATCTGGGCCACAGCAGTGTGTGACAGGGGACGGCTAGTAGTAGTAGTAGTAGTAGTAGTAGTAGTAATAATAATAGTAATAATAATAATAATAACAACAACACATATTCACAGACTGGGCCACAGCAATACATGGCAGGGGACGGCTAGTAGTAGTAGTAATAATAATAATACTACAAGTATGACACCCTATTGTCAACAGCTCACATTTCAATGCGTTGAGAAAATGGTCAACTTCCATTTCCATCCGATGCATTTCTTGAAACTCCTGCATTTCCTCGCTTATATAAAACCTTACATAAATAATGTGCAGCTAAGGTCTTGCAGAGGTGGGTTTGTGTCGAAGCGACCAATGGAAATGTGTGGATTCTTTCCTTGTCAAGATATTCCGGTCGCTCCCGTCCGGCTACAACATTTCCAAGCAGACCCTTGACCAGTACCTGACACTTCTGGCCGACGACCCGGTAAGAAAAAGTATTTTTGCCTTTGAAATTAATTACTCTGTTCTCAAAGCGAACACACAGGGGCGGCCAACCCAGTACGCAAAGTAAGCCTTCGCGGTAGAGTTGATGTTGCCTAGGGGCGCTCTTGAGGGGAAAATAGACCTTGACATATGCGAGTTATAGTTACTGCAGGGGCGGCTCGTCCATTACGCGAAGTAAGCGGTCGCAGAACACTTTTTTTTGCCAGGGGCGCAGAGGC